ATTGCTCTTTGTTGCTTTCCCTTTTGCGTTACCCGCAGTATCACCACATCACTCGTCCTCCAATACGGCAAATGAATGAGAAGTCCTTAGGATGTCTGTAGGCGGCTTTATCAAGGTCTTCTTAAGGCCCCTGTCCTTTACGACTTACCAAGACGAGGTCTTTTTAGTACTGATCTCCTCCTCCGTTTCTTCTCGAAGTTGTTTCAGCTGTCGTAAGGGGCATAAGTAGCCGACCCCTCACAGTGTTCAAGAGAGAACTGGATAAGCACCTCCAAAGGATACCTGATCAACCAGGCTGTGACTCATACGTCAGGCTGCGAGCAGCCGCGTCCAACAGCCTGATTGATCAGTCCGGCAACCAGGAGGCCTGGTCAACGACCGGGCCGCGGGGACGCTAAGCCCCGGAAGCACCTCAAGGTAGGTAAGGTGTCGTACCTCCTCCCGTAGGGAATCCAACTCTGTCCTCAGGGCTCCAACTAGATTCATCAGTTCCTTCACTACAATTTCCATATTGCTATGATAATATAACTACACTCAGGAGCTCCGGCTAACACACCCTCTCACTGCGACTGTCTGCGCCTGACTGGTGATTATAAGGACGCGGAAGTTCAGCCTGGCCAGGGCCGCCAGCAACCCTTGGGCCCGCCCCGGCAGCACCCAGTCTTTAATTTGGCACCTTTGTGGGACCTTTTTGGGACCTTGGTATAAGCCTAACATGTATATATACACTGGCTGCCTGTCCTCCTACTCAATGATTTATTATTACCTATTATTTTATCATTTAATTTAAATATTAAATAAAATAATTTATTTAATTATTATAGTAAGTACTTAATAATTTAATAATGAGTTGTAAGTACATAAAAATGATTAAAAAGTTCAGTTTAGTCATAGGAGATTCCTAGATTCGAATTCACTACCAAATTTCAATATATCCAAGTATTTTTAGTGTGAAATGCTGTTATTATAAGCATAAATTGTTGTTTTAATAATATTACGCTTAACCACTTGGGCTGGACGGTAGAGCGACAGTCTCGTTTCCTACAGGTCCGCGTTCAATCCCCGACCGCCCAAGAGGTTGGGCACCATTTCTTTCCCCCGTTCCATCCCAAATCCGTATCCTGATCCCTTCCGAGTGCTATATAGTCGTAATGGCTTGGCGCTTTCACTTGATAGTTCTCCCACCCCCCACCCCCTGAATAATATTACGAGAGCAGTATTTACAGGCTATTCATGCCCGTGCCACCTCTTGGATGGCTTAATCTTCATCAATCGAGAGCAGTACGTCCTAACCAGACATTATATGACGATATCCTGAACAGTTGATAAATAAAAGTAATTGCGGAACTCCAGTTATCTAATACTTATCATAAATGGTATAAAACCTTATCATAAGCCAAGGGATTTGTAGATCAGTATTTAAAGGGAATTCGGAAGTAATAATAACACAGCTGATGCCATCTGTCGGCAGAAGAGAACACTATCAACTGGCTGGTCAAAAGTGGCCGTAAGATACAGCTTACGCCATCTGTTGACATCAAATTACACTTATAACAAATTACCCTGCAAAATACAACTAGCGCCATCTCTTTTTTTTCCAACGCACTATAAATAGCCAAACAGCAACCCATAAGGTGGGTTGTTGTGCTCGGGTAGGAGGTTCCAAGCTCCGCCCACATTCTTTGTTGACATTCACCACAGCCAATCACAGGAAGGGATCAGCTAAAGGCTCCATCCACTTAATAAATCATCTTTATTCAGCACACCATCCTTGCTTATGACATTCTGCTTCAACTTTAATCTACCTAAAAAGTGAAATGTTAAGTATTTAAAAGTATTAATATAGTGATAATTAAATACTGCAGGATGTAACGGGTGTTACAGAAACATGGGCTGGCTACCTAACTTGTGACGTTATTATTGTGGGTTGCCTTGACACAAATAATGATACGCTGCTCTGCCCTCTTACTCGAGTAAATTATTCAGTTAGATGGAGATTTCTGTCAGGTGCAAAACAAAAATTGTTGTTCTTTTTCACAACAACCTTGTTGTTGTGCACAAGGCCCTATTTCTTAGTGTAAATTTTATTCATAAAAGAGTGTTGGTATTCCCCGCAACAGCCAATCACAGGAAGGTATTTCTGGCAGCTCGGCCTCCTTATGGACTCAGCACATCGCTCTAGCTCATGGCTCTCTGTTTCATCTCTTGTATATACAAACTATGACTTTTTTCGATTACTGTTATAATTAATAATAGGAGATATAAAAGTTTTTACACAAAATGGCTAAATTCTGCTATTAAATGGACTTTGTCTGGTATACATACAAACATACACCAATTTATTACCATTCATCCATTATTAATTTCAAATGTAATGTATACTGTCTAGTTTTTTTCCTCCCGCCATTACTTGGTGCAATATTTGAAAGTTGTCTATTTATTTATCGATCTATCTATTATCTTGTATTTATATTTAGAAGTTTCTGTGCTTGGAAGAAAACTCTGCATTGAATAGGGACTAATTTATTAAATAATATTATGTAGTATTAATTAATATTTACAATTATTATTAATTACAATTATTTATAGCTTAGTTACTTTCATGTAACTCGCAATCGTACAATCTTAACTTTAATAGCCCAAATTAGCATATCTTGCTTTTAAATTAGGCCAAAAAGTAGCAAGTAGCGAAATTAAAAATTTGGGAGCGCGGGGCTCTCAAAAGTAGCCCAATTCGCTATTTGTAGCCCAATCTGGCAACATTGCCTCCGCCCGGTGACTGCTCCCGTGGCCACCTATAGGTCTACTTCAGCCTCCGCCCCGTCTCCAATCATAGGTTTACTGTAGCCTCCGCCCCGTGACTGCTCCCAACTGAACTGGTGTACATACACAGATGTAATTTTTAGATTTACAATTTGAGTATACTTAATGATTATAATTCATTAAAGAAAATTCAAAGAAAACAGCTCGGAAACTAAGGAAATAAAGCTGCCGAAAAACATTAAAGTCCATTTCAAGTTCAAGTATGTTTATTGTCGGTTCGTTCATGCTAGGCTTGCAGTTACACAACTGGTCGGGGTCCGCTTACACAACTGGTCGGGGTTCGGGGTGCACAATAAACCACCACTCACTGGTTGAATAGGGGATGAACTATCCACCTCTGGCGGCAAAAAATCAATGTGTGTGTGTGTATGTGCAGAAATAATATTAATAAAACAATTAACATCGTGTAGTGTACTCTATATATCAAAATATATTACTTTGAAACCCATATCATTCACTAAAAAAATTGGGCTACTCTAATTACAAATTCGCTACTTTTAGACCGTCAGCTCGCTACTTTCAGCAATTTAGATCTGGCAACCCTGGGCGGAGGCTGCAGTAGACCTATGATTGGACACGGGGCCAGTTACGGGGCGGAGGCAGAAGTAGACCTATGGGTGGCCACGGGAACAGTCACGGGGCGGAGGCTGAAGTAGACGTATGGGTGGCCACAGGGCGGGGGCTGAAGTAGACGTATGGGTGGCCACAGGGCGGGGGCTGAAGTAGACCTATGGGTGGCCACGGAAGCAGTCACGGGGCGGATGCTGAAGTAGACCTATGGGTGGCCACGGGGCGGGGTCTGAAGTAGACCTATGGGTGGCCACGGGGCGGGGTCTGAAGTAGACCTATGGGTGGCCACGGGGCGGGGGCTGAAGTAGACCTATGGGTGGCCATGGGACAGTCATGGGGTGGAGGCTGAAGTAGACCTATGGGTGGCCACGGGGCGGATGCTGAAGTAGACCTATGGGTGGCCACGGGGCGGGGTCTGAAGTAGACCTATGGGTGGCCACGGGGCGGGGTCTGAAGTAGACCTATGGGTGGCCACGGGGCGGGGGCTGAAGTAGACCTATGGGTAGCCATGGGACAGTCATGGGGTGGAGGCTGAAGTAGACCTATGGGTGGCCACAGGGCGGGGGCTGAAGTAGACCTATGGGTGGCCATGGGGCGGGGGCTGAAGTAGACCTATGGGTGGCCACGGGGACAGTCATGGGGTGGAGGCTGAAGTAGACCTATGAGTGGCTACGGGGCGGGGACTGAAGTAGGCCTATGGGTGGCCACGGGGTGGGGACTGAAGTAGACCTATGGGTGGCCACGGGGCGGGGGCTGAAGTAGATCTATGGGTGGCCACGGGGCGGGGGCGGAAGTAGACCTATGGGTGGCCACAGGGCGGGGGGCTGAAGTAGATCTATGGGTGGCCACAGGGACAGTCATGGGGTGGAGGCTGAAGTAGACCTATGGGTGGCCACGGGGCGGAGGCTGAAGTAGACCTATGGGTGACCACGGAGCGGGGGCTGAAGTAGACCTATGGGTAGCCACGGGGCGGGGGCTGAAGTAGACCTATGGGTGGCCACGGGAGCAGTCACGGGGCAGATGCTGAAGTAGACCTATGGGTGGCCACGGGGACAGTCATGGGGTGGAGGCTGAAGTAGACCTATGGGTGGCCACGGAAGCAGTCACGGGGCAGATGCTGAAGTAGACCTATGGGTGGCCACGGGGACAGTCATGGGGTGGAGGCTGAAGTAGACCTATGGGTGGCCACGGGGCGGGGGCTGAAGTAGACCTATGGGTGGCCACGGAAGCAGTCACGGGGCGAATGCTGAAGTAGACCTCTGGGTGGCCAAGGGGACAGTCATGGGGTGGAGGGTGAAGTAGACCTATGGGTGGCCACGGGGACAGTCATGGGGTGAAGGCTGAAGTAGACCTATGGGTGGCCAAGGGGACAGTCATTGGGTGAAGGCTGAAGTAGACCTATGGGTGGCCACGGGGCGGGGGCTGAAGTAGACCTATGGGTGGCCACGGGGCGGGGGCTGAAGTAGACCTATGGGTGGCCACGGGGCGGGGGCTGAAGTAGACCTATGGGTGGCCACGGGGCGGGAGCTGAAGTAGACCTATGGGTAGCCACGGGGCGGGGGCTGAAGTAGACCTATGGGTGGCCACGGGGCGGGGGCTGAAGTAGACCTATGGGTGGCCGCGGGAGCAGTCATGGGGCGGGAGCGAGCGAGTGGGACGCTGGCGACAATGGCGGCGTCGGACGAGCTGGGAACCACTCTCGATGTGGATGTCGTGGGGCTCGTTGATCTCGACTTCAAGTAAGCACAGCTGCGTTTTGGGGTCGTGGTAAATGGAAGGGTTGCGATAGTGTGGCCTGAAATACAGCCGTGTTTGTATCTCATGGGACACAGCTTCCCACTTGGGGGCACCGTTTGTGCATTTAAACATAAATAAACACCCACAGAAGCTGTTATAGAGACCTTCCTTATGTATTATTAACTGAAAACGTTTTAACTGAGAAGCTCGATAACTGGTATAATGACGTAATGGCTTGGTATTATGACAGTCCACACTTGACCTGACATGTTTTGTTTCCCTCAACAGTAATGGGTGGCTTTTATGTGGCTAATATTTACGCTATGAAATTAAGTTGGATGGCTTAAGAAGTTAAGCCATAGCTAAAATAATTTACTCTTCTTTCAAGAAACCATTATTCTTTCAAGATAAAGTTCAAGAAACCAGAGGGCACTAAGACAAGTCGCCCCACTTCTATGTATCACTTCTGAAGGACTAGTTGCTCCATAGGTCAGATGAGATTAACTGGGTCAGAATAAGTTCAGGGCAGGTCAGGACTCACCAGCTTGACAGTAGTGATTGCAGAGAGACTGTATAATATGCATATATATAATAGAATATATTCAAAATGTACACCAAGTATACAAATCCACAAGGGCCGTGACGAGGATTTGAACCTGCGTCCGAGAGCATCCCAGACGCTGCCTTAATCGACTGAGCTACACCAAATATATACACCTATTGCTACTTATTGTGGCTGTCATCTTATAGTATGTGCATAATTATTGCACAATAAATTAAGGGTCACGGTAGTACAGTCTGGTTCATTCTTGACTCACAATCGAGAATTCTGGGTTCGAATCCTGGGTGGGACAGAAATGGTTGGGTGCATTTCCTATCCCCCAATACACCTGTTCACCTACCAATAAGTAGGTACTCAGGAGGTAGTCAACTTGTTGTGGGGCTGCATCCTGGGCGGGGTCAGTAATTAGACCTTGGGGGGAAGGGGGGCCTCGATATAAGCCTAATATGTATAAATACACTGGGTGCCTGTCCCCCGACACAGTGAATTATTATTATTATAAATGTGTAGAAAATTTGTGAGTCAAATTTATAATGCTTAGAATAAACTAACTCTAGGTAACATTTGCTTACTAGAGGATTAGGTTAGGAGAGGGCATGTTAGATTAGATTAGAAGAGGCTGTTAGATTAGGTTAGGAAAGGTTATGTTAAATTAGGTTAGGAGAGGCTATGTTAAATTATGTAAGGAGAGGCAGTGTTAGGTTAGGATAGGCTGTTTGGTTAATATGGTTATTTTGGTTGATTTGATTGATTGACATTGACTGCTGTCAATGATTGCTAGTTTATTTTTTAACAGATTCCCATTGTTGAAGAATAGAAGCCTGTTAGGCTCATCTTGGTCCTCTCTTCCCAGCTTGGTGTCTTATGATGATAACCACTTACCCCCCCCCGTCTCCCAGTGACTGACGTTACCAAGAATGCCACCCACAACAGTTGACTAACTCTTTGGCACCTGCTTATTGCTAAGTGAACAGTGGCATCAGGTGTAAGGAAATGTGCCCAAACATCTCTGTTCAGCATAGAAATTGAATCCTGTGCTACAAGATCTACACACATTATTTATTTATATATATATCCAAAAACATCTCGTTTATGATGAATATTTTTTGAGTAACTGGTGAAACATCTAAATATCACTACTGTACTGTGCTGGTGTGTATGTGTGTGTAATTACCGAAGTGTAGTTACAGGATGAGAGCTATGCTCATGGTGTCTTGTCTTCCCAGCACACTCTGTCATATAACGCTTTGAAATTACTGACGGTTTCGGCCTCCACCACCCTCTCACCTAACTTGTTCCAACCGTCTACCACTGTTTACAAAAGTGAATTTTCTTATATTTCTCCGGCAGCTTTGTTTCGTTAGTATAAATCTATGATCTCTTGTTCTTGAAGTTCCGGATCTCGGGAATTCTTCCCTATCAATTTTATCGATTCCTGTTACTATTTTGTACATGGTGATATTGCCTATTTTTCTTCTATCTTCTAGTTTTTGCATATTTAATGCCTCTAATCTCTCCTCGTAGCTCTTGTCCTTCAGTTCTGGGAGCCACTTAGTGGCATGTCTTTGCACCTTTTCCAGTTTGTTGATGTGCTTCTTAAGATATGGGCACCATACATCCGCTGCATATTCCAGCTTTGGTCTAACAAGAGCCGTGAACAATTTCTTTAGTATTTCACCATCCATGTATTTAAAAGCAATTCTGAAGTTAGAAAGTACAGGGTATAGCATAGGCTCCTCGCACAATGTTCTTAATGTGGTTCTCAGGTGACAGTTTTCTATCTAGAACCACCCCCTAGATCCCTTTCTTTGTCAGAATTCTTTAAAGATTTCTCACATAATTTATAGGTTGTGTGGGGTCTATGTTCTTCAATTCCACAACATGGCATTTATTCACATGCCATGTTATGGAATGTGAATAAATGCTTGGCAATTCCATTTGCCAAGTAGTGCTCCATACACTTATTTTGTCCAGATCATCTTGAAGGGCATGACAATCATCTAGGTTTCTTATTTTCCCTATTATCTTAGCATCATTAGCAACATATAATTCTGTATTCCATCTGGTAGATCATTTACATAGACAATGTGTGTGTAATTATCTAAATGTAATTGCAAATACATATATCTATACACATATTTTTATGCTTGCATGACTTTATTTTGATTGCATGCTATGCTTGTGGTGTTGTGTCTTTGTGATACAGGAGAAACAAAATTGACTACATTGCTTGTATAATTGAGACTACATGATTGTGTATCCAAAGTGCTGTAGTGTATTAATTAATGCCCCCTAGCCATGTATCTTGTATCCAAAGGGAGTACAATACCCCATGGACCTGTATACATTGCATTTCTTAAGTAAGGTAAGGATTCGTTATTCAGACAGTTCTCTTATTTCTGTGCTTCTTAAAAAGTACCACTCACTATTTGGATTCATTTTAAAGTGACATGGAAAAAACCCCACACATTCTAATGCCTAACGGCAATGGTACAGTACGACGTGTACTGTACTGTATATGTTTTCTTGATTTTTGAGTCATGATTACTGGATATTCATGGCAACCTTTCACATCTGGGTTGTATCTTTCTGGACCTGATGTGGATTTCTGATTTTTTAAAATTTCAGGATTCTGTAACTGCAATGTTATGGTTATTTGTTTCAAAATTTTCAGATTTTCATTATAGTAAATTATATGTTTCTGCAAATTTAGATATTCGAAAATAGAATGATTTTGTATGTATATTAATAATAATTATGCACAAAAAATATGAAATATTTATTTGTTCACTTGCCTTTTTGTAACTGAGGCTGGTGTTGATAAACTGAGAGGCAGCAAACTAAAGTTATACTGTGGTACTATGTCATGACAACTGTTAACTTCTAGTCATCTCAAACTGGCCTTGAAGTCCTCATTGCCCATAGTTAAAGCCATTAATTTAACTGGAGACTGTCTTCACTGCCACCAGCCAGCCTCTGGCTACAATGCTACTTAAAGCATTGGTAAAGAGCATCATATATATCTTCATGCTTAGGTTTGAATGTTCTATGTCACTTCACTTTCCACTCTTATATACTCTCTTTGTTTTTGTTTTTCTCTAAAATGGCACTAGTACCAATGGTTTGCTCCTCTGCCAGCCACTAGTACCAATGGTTTGCTCCTCTGCCAGCCACTAGTACCAATGGTTTGCTCCTCTGCCAGCCACTAGTACCAATGGTTTGCTCCTCTGCCAGCCACTAGTACCAATGGTTTGCTCCTCTGCCAGCCACTAGTACCAATGGTTTGCTCCTCTGCCAGCCACTAGTACCAATGGTTTGCTCCTCTGCCAGCCACTAGTACCAATGGTTTGCTCCTCTGCCAGCCACTAGTACCAATGGTTTGCTCCTCTGCCAGCCACTAGTACCAATGGTTTGCTCCTCTGCCAGCCACTAGTACCAATGGTTTGCTCCTCTGCCAGCCACTTTCCTCCCCAGGCATTATCATGTTTTTATAATAATGTGACCTTATTGTCAATGGTAAGGGGTTTCTCTTACCCTTGTCTGATGCACCAGTACCAGTCTTGTAACACAATGTGATTTTAACTTGCAAATACTCATATCCAGTATCAGAAAAAAACCAGACAAAATGCTTGAATAGTGAGAGGTCAGATAGAAATTAACAGACAAGAAAAACACATGGTTAGCATGTGTGCTCTTGCAGTTAGTCTGGATGCCTCTCAGAATTTGCCTTAGAAACAATGGGAAGACCTTTGACAAGCCACTGGCTTCCTCTCACCATCAAAGCCATTTGGGGGATGGTGGCTCTTTGGTAAATTCAATAAGGAACTCCTTTTTCATAATTTATTGCACATTACAAGATTAGTAAAACATTTCTGAAATAAATCGCATTCTAGTAATATTTACAAATACAAAAATACAGCAGTCAAAAACTAAGGACAAAAATATAATGGAAATTACTAAGCAGTATGTGAATGATTTCACTGTGTTTCCCTTCATAATTAATTTTTTTTTCTTAAAATAAAAATTTCAAAGGATAAATATAGCTGGCAGATTTGATTTGGTATTTTGAGGGGTTCATTATATGGAGGTCCAGATCTTAAAGGTTGCAGTATACTGTATACTATTGGGATCAGAATGCTAAGAAGTTTGTGCACTATTCCTATAATGTTTGTTCTTAGTCACTTGATTGTGAAGCAATTAGCCAATTGTGTTCAGTGGAGAAACAAGTAGGAAAAAAAGAGCCTGTAGGGTAAAGTCACCTGTCTCCAGACACACACTGATAGATACTGTATTGACATCCTCAGTGGACTAAAAATTTGTCATAGTATTTGGAGATTTATCCAAATGTCCTAATGCCAGTCTCCGGATGGCAAGACATACCACCCAATTGTAAGAGAATTTTTTTGAATAACCATGTACATTTTGGGCTATGTTTTAAGCCCCTAGGCAACACTTAGAATAACAGATCTGGCTCCTGGGTGTTCAACCATGTGAGTGTCTGTAGACTGGTATTTTGGGATGTTGGAGATAGGCACCAGGTATTCCAATGTTTCTGAAACTCTTATCTTTTGAACTACTGAGATGTGAGTCTGTGATCCCCATTCTCTTCATTTGGCTACACAGTTGTTTCTCCTGTAATTCTCAGTTGCTGGTGGCTGCTGGGGCCTATTTTTTGGTTGCTGAGCCAGGTGTTGTCACAGCATTGTATGTTTCGTACTTCAGTGCTACAGGCTCGTGGTCCAGGTGGGGGTCCCGTGATGCCAGTGTCTCAGGCTGTGCTGTTGCTTTCTCCAGCGACCTCTTCTCGATAGAGAAGGTCTCGTTCCCCATCTTGGAGGGAGGAGGGATGCTTATCGAGGTTCTTCCCATCAGCCTAGTGGTATAGTACAATCTTTTGGCTAGGGTAAGGGGGACAGCTGGTCTGGTTTCCTCAAGCTTGGTTATGCAAATCTTGGGTCTTCTAGGTGGTTTCAAGGGGTCTTCAATGGGCATGGTTCTTCCCTTCCTCTTGTGTTGTGGGTCCTGGCTCGGCCATCTACTCAACTCCTCTGCAGGGTCATCACTGGGATTCTGGATGCCAGTGTGGTTGAGGTGACCTCGTCCTTGCAGTGGGTGTTAGGCTTATTCCCAGTCCCCAAGCAAAACTCACTGTTCATTCTCTACTTATGTCTGAATTGTTGCATTCTCTGTCCTACATGCTGAGTGAATACGCTCTATCAAGTTTAGCTATTCCTTTTAACCAGTGCCTGGTTGGTGTTTTTGTATCTCCAGGATGCATAATAGCACATTCCTATTCACCCAAGATTTAGGAACTGGCTGGGTTTTATGTCGAGCATCAGAGGTTTTGTTTCTTAATTCTTAACTTGGGGGTGAATCCGGCACCCAAGATTTTCCCCAGATTGGCTCAAGTCATGGTTTCTCATTTTTAGCTTCAGGAGATTTCTCTGGGCCTACCTTGACAACTGGCAGGTTTGGGTTCCCAGTCAGTCCGTCATTAATTTTGAGTTATACTCATTAATGTTTTGTCTAACCGACTTGGCAACATGCATATTATCAACGGTGTTAAGCCTTTATATAAATTTTCTGCACTGTGTATTAATTTTGTAGAAATTTATATAATATTTTGTAAACTGAATTATTGTTCATTCTTTTAAACTGTGGGCTGGAGCTATAAATTTCCTCTTTAATATGCTGGTACAATTTTTCATAATGTACGTAAGTATAATATTTAAAGATTTGATATTATAAAATAATTTGTTACTAAATGATTACTTGATGTTTCAGAAGTGAGCCTGACTTCTTTGACTTTGATTCTGGTGGGGAATTTGGATTATTTGGAGAAGCAGGAGTGGCACTGCACACCACAGCTTCAACTACTCCAAGCAATCAGTCATGCACTACTGCCTCTCAGGGAAGCACAGCTATTGGAAGTGGTGGTATTAGCTCCCATAATACATATGGATCACCAAATAATAAAAGAAATGCTACTGCCCGTAAAAGAAAAAGTCACTGGAATTCAACTGAGAAGGATCTATTTCAGAAAGGACTGGTAAGGTAACTGAGGTTGCAGTTATTAATTTGGTGCCAATATAAGCAATATATTTATGGCTGATGAGCAGTTTAGAAAGCATACTCGCTAGACATGTTTAATAGGTTCTTTATTTATTACTTAATGTACTGTTCATCTCGGGTTATTACTATTATTGCTTTGTTTCTCTTAGAGGAATGCTGGTATAATACAGGCACTCTGTTTTGTTCAAATATTTGTGTAAAATCAAGTATTATTTATTTATATATACAAGAGTTCTTACATTCTTGTAAAGTCACTAGCATGCATAGCATTTCAGGGAGGTCCTTAATCCTAATTTTTCCCCGGAATACGAACAGCCAAATCATTTAATAACCAGGAACCCATTCACTGCTGGGTGAACAGAGGCTACAGTTAAGGATTGGCATCCAGTCAAGACTCCCTGGCCAGGATACGAACCCAGGCTAAAGCACTCGCAAAGCGCCGGGCGAGTGTCTTACCACTGCGTCATGGAGACTGTCGGGTAATTACTGTATAAGCAGACCTGTTTGATTTACCCCTTTGTGTAGCTACACTTCTTGCCTTGTTTGCCTGTGACTTTTTAAATGCCTATGTTAGTAAACTTTGAAAGTATGAGAGGGTATCTAGGTTGTCAATGATGTCAAATTTGTGCGGTAGTTCCGGATTAATGGGTCGGGTGTCACGGACTGAGGAGTGATTGTTCTGTTTGTGGGTTGGAGTGAGTTATGTTATACAATAAAGAATATTTATGCAGTATATGCCAGTGTGTTTGCTGTATTAAGAACATGCACATTTTAACAGTAAGAAATTTACAGACAATAAATTTAGACAATATATGAATCAATCTAACTCAATCTAACTTTTGTAGGCTTAGCTAGAAAACTAAAAGATAAGTTGTTAATTTTGTATATTTTTTGTATTTTCTTTTTGTTTAAATTTATATTTCTTTATATTTTAAATATTTTCTTTCTAGTCAGAGGGCCGTGTTGTGCTTAATAAGGAATACAAAAGCATTTTCACTTCCATTTGATGACATTCATAGATATAATGTTTATTATTCATCCTCAATATTGATGATTTATTTCACAAAAAATAAATTCCTTTACCATTTACAGGGCGTTTTTTTTTTTGCCAGTCTAACAGTCTTGAGCTTTAAACAAGTCATAGATGAAGGAGGAAATTATCAGGGAAAGTGCCAAGCCATTATGACTATATAGCACTTGGAAGGGGATAAGGATTTGGGATGGGATGGGGGGGAAGGAATGGTGCCCAACCACTTGGATGGTCAGGGATTGAACGCCGACCTGCATGAAGCAAGACCGTTGCTCTACCGTCCAGCCCAAGTGGTTGGGCAAGTCTTAGATGAGACATTTATTAATAGTCTATCATAATATGACTTAATATCTTGGTTTGTCAGTACTGTATAGAATCATTATTTGAATATAATGTACAGTATACTTTTTTGACAACAAAATGTTTTATTAACACTTTGGCGGCCCCAGCCCGCCAGCCCTCAACTAGGCCGAGTGGGCCCCAGTGTTTCACGGGAGCGCGCGGTAATTCTGAGAAGTGTATACTCTCTTCAACTTTGTCACCTCAATTCTCGTCCAGGGTTTTTCAATTTGGTATCATTGTGTTCGCAATAGAATTCTCTACACGACTAAAGACATATAAACTCCAAAAGCCTGGCGTACCATCCACAACAAACAGAGAAAGTGAGTGCGCGTGTTACCCGGGAGCACATAAGAGCGATAAAATGTGTACACTCCTTTCACGTTTGTCACCTCAATTCCCGTCCTAGGTCTTTCATTTTGGTAACATTGTGTTCGCAATAGAATTCCCTACAGGAGTATATGCAAATATAAACTCCAAAAGCCAGGCGTACCACCCACAGCAAACAGAGAAAGTGATGGAACATAATCCCAGTGAGCGCTAATAAAATGGGTATACTGTTTTCAACTTTGTTACCTCAATTCTGATCCTAGGTCTTTCATTTTGGTATCAATGTATTCGCAATGAAATTCCCTACAAGAGTATATGCATATAATATCCAAAACTGCTGTGCGCCCCTCCCAAAGCCGCTGCCAATTTGCCGCTGAAAATGACGCAATGCTGCATCATTACCGAGATTACGTCTACTAAAAAAATGACGCAATGCTGTGTCGTTCCCGTGCGAAAGTGTTTAATTAATGTATTAGAACTAATTCTAGGTACATTACAGACAACTGTCCATCATGTCCTCCAAGTACAAATCTGTTTTGAGGGATAAATTGTTTTATAAACAATGAGGAATTTGTGAAAGATAATAATACCAATAATCTTTTCTATACTTTATTTTAACATTACACTATAATTGATGAGAGATATGTCTGGCATATTCTTAATACAGTACCATACTAAGGCTACAGTCATAGCAGGAATTATGAGAGGTGCACAAAAACTAAAAATGTAACAAACAAAAATTGTGCGGAGCCATCTTCAAGCATTTGACACTTGGTGTGTCATTACAAAACAAAACGCTGTGCTGCCATTTGCTGGCCATTGGATGAATACTTTTGGCTGGAGGTGCATGTCTGAAAGATATAAATTCTTACTTGTCATTAACCATCTACTGTATTCTAGGAGGACCTCAGGAGCTCCCTGAGCTTTAGCATTGGCACCATATAGCGAAGCCTTAAGAAATGGTACGAGGCCTTGGAGGCTCACCCTGATCTCCTGGAACCTAGGAAAACATTCTGGCTCACTCTACGAGGCAAGGGAAACCTGGAATTCAGAGATATATTCAAGATCAAGAATCCACCAGAAAGGTTAGGCACTACAAACCAAGTGACTACCTGAAGAAAAATAGTAACCGATGTAAACAAGGCAAATGATTGTTGCCATGGGAAAATTTCCCTTATTGAAATGTGCATGACTGCCATCAGATAGCAGTCCAAGCCATTCAGAGTCCTAGTCAGCTGCCCACCTCACTCACCTGGCATAAATCTGGTCATACCACTTTTAACTTCCCAATGCTCCACACTTTCTGCTACGTGGTGTTGTCTGTGGAACAATTGTTCCAACCAACAGGGTCATTGCTTTACTTTTTTCATTTAGACTTCATGATTGTGTTCTGAGCCACCCACATTATGTATGACTAATGACAAATTTCGATGACTAATTTCCGGGCTCTGGCAGCCCGGAAATTGGCAGTCTGTCAGGATGTTGACTTCTTACTGTTTAATATACTTCCACCTTGCCATACATGTGTTTCGCTGTAATTAATATTTGGTGTGCAGTTGATACTCCTTTGCCTTCGGCCCTTCTCTTCAGCCTTCATTACTTACAGGTTATCTATTCACGACTTTCCTGTTGTTTCTATTATTCTGTTCTCTTTCAGAAAAGCTGTCCTTGTTTTGTTATAGTGCCATTGGGAGTAATCTCTTGAGAGTTACTTAGGGAACTGTCAGAAATCAAGACTTTGTTGTAATGAAATAACTGTTTCTGGTGAGCCAATGGTAGCTCCTCATGTCCACCCTGAGAATGTATATTCTCTTCCCGGTGTGGTTTTGGGATTTCATTACTGGCTTGTGAGCGAGGTGGGTGGCTGAGTTTTTGCGTGAACTGAACTGTCATATGGTGGTGGCTGGGCACATTCTGTTTGCCTCTGGCAATGATGACTTGCCTTGCTTGCCTCAGGACTCATTTGTTTCTTTCAAGTAGTTTTTTGTTTGTTTTGGCTTGCCTTTCAGGTATTTTTTCCTGTTTTTTGGTAGATCTCTGATTTCCAAGTTTAGTCCCAGCAGGTCAGAGTCCATTTCAGAGGCCTGATGCAATTTCTAAGGTTTGACTATATCAATGCATAAGCTCCGAGGAACTACTGAGGAACAACATGAAACAAGAGTTTGTTACAATCAATGCTTGATTTTTTCTCCTGGCTGAGCAAGTTGGAAATGGAATAATAATGTATGTATGTACTCATTTATGTTTATGTATACTATATATACCAGTACAGTATGTAATTGTTTATATGTATGCATACACCAGTATGTATATTTTTTGTTTACAGTCAAATCCCAGTCTTATGCAGGATGGTATTCCAGGATGCATCATGATAAAGTGATCTGCATAGTAATGGTAATTTTGAAAAGTCTTGGGAAAATGTGATACATTCATGGATGAATGCATTTATTACACATAAAATTTAAATACTGTATTGCAATATATGTATTATAAATGCAGTACAGTATAATAAAGTGTATATAGTATTTGAAGGGGGGTGTGATCTGATGAACCAAGTTAAACACATTAATTCTGGGAAGGCTTCCCAAGATACCCAACTGGATACTTCACACCTTGGGCACCACACCAGGCTCTTTATAAATCATAGAGTGCCTACCAGAGGCCTACCAGTACTAGAATCTACTCCTCCTCAATAGAGGCAAATGAAGTCTGGAGATAGGTACATAAAAAACCCACCGGACAGGTAGAGCAGCCAAAAAGAAACAACTTCATGGGGAAACATTGGGAACCATGATACAAGCTATGTACACACTCGTTCACAACCAACTGTTACCAACAGTCACTGCTAGTTGAGAGCCCTGGTGACTTGGGGTTCCAGCTGGCTGTCCCAGTCTGGCATGCAGCTGGTGTCACCTATCCCAGGCTTCTAAGCTTGTTTAAGTATTAGCTGTTCCTTTGCTCTTTGTCCTGAGCTGTGGCCTGTGCTTATTATTATTATTATGACTTTTCCAGCTTCACATGTATGCTTTCTTGGCCACTCTATTGTGTAAGCCTAGAGTCTGTTCACCTCAACTGCCTATAGCTATACCTAGAGTATACATGGGAGTTGTTTTCCTTCAGCCATACCTTGGGATAGGCTTGACTTACAACTTGGTCCAACAGGCTGTTGTTTAGAGCTGCCCACAGGCCCACATATCCACTAAAACCCAGTTGATTTGGCACTTCTTGCAGGAACGTGGCTAATTTTATCTTCAACGTGTACACTTTTTCCGGAATTATTTCTTATTTTTGCTGGGAAGATATCAAGTAGACATGATTTCTGTACCTATGGCACCTCTCCCTCTCACCAGGTCTATTCTGCATCTCTTATTATTCTTATCCTCCATTGCAGTTGGAGCAATTGGCAGAATTCTTTCAGTTCCTGTTAAAGGAGTGGAGCCTTGCCTCTCTGGTGGACCCAGCCTCCTCTTAAGTTTGGGTCTATTTTACCCTAGTGATTGAGGTACGAGGGTAAAATAGACATCATAGATTTTCAATAAAAAAAAATTCCCTTCTTTAGGGGTTTGGTATCCTGTCAGCCATTCCCAGATGGTTAATTGACATAAGGTTAGAGTCAATTTTTTAGTTTTTTTTTAATGGCTCGGCTTTTGCACTGGTCAGTTCTCCCTATGTGCACCGGGTCTGCCTTGGAATGTGGGCATATAGGAGCTCCATGTGGGCTTGCATTTGATTGCCTCTCAGGTTGGGGCTGATCCTGTACCTCAGGTTGGGCCTTGCCTTTATCTGGCTGGGGTTTTTACAATGTCAGGGCCTCTCGGGAGCTTTTTGCTTTCCAGCTCTGTGGCAGTGCCAGAGTGGGAGTGCTTCCATGTGAAGGTTGCACCCAAGTTGTTTGTTTCTTCTTGTAAGATATAGTGGTGAACTTAATTAAGGCTTGATTGGCCTGTTGACAGGCTTTGCTTTCCTATGTTCAGGAGTCTACTTAGTCCCTCTCCTTCATATCAGCTTAGCCCTTTTCTCTTCTCCTGCTCTCGGAGAAGGTTGCCAGCTGCTCTTGACTGCTGCTGGGGCTTATTAGCCCTTGAATTGGGTTTTTCTGAGGCAAGGTTCTTTCCCTGTTGAGGCCTATATTGTTTTAGGGTCTGAGTTTCACTTTCTCCGAGTTAAAATAGGGGTTTTGTGGTGCCTAGTTTCAGAGGTCTTAGTGCTGCCTTTGATCTTGGCTTCCTCTTAAGACCCAGTGGAAGCATACTAGGTTCTCTCAGAAAGGGGCTGCTTGTTAGGGCACTTGGTGCCAATTCTTTTGCTTCTTTTGCTTCACCTCCTTGGGGAAGTTTGTTCCTTTGTTCCTGGGGGTCAATTTTTTTTTGTCTTGTGTTTCTAGTGAAGAATGAGATGATGGATTTTCATGAGGGGGCCTTTGGTTATTGAGGCTTGGTTTCTTTAGCTGGGGGTTCATCACATTCTTTATCCGGTTATGGTGATCCACTACTTGCACTCCATTTGGGATGCCTCAGGGTTGTTTTGTTTGTTAATTTGATGTACTGTATCTGGTTTCTTGTTCAAGGTTCTGGAAAATGAATGTGTGAACAGTTTGTATGAGGGATGCCAATATTTTCCATGTACATTAGTTGTTTGTTTTGGGCGAAAACCTATTTGGTGGGTTGGTCTTTTGGCCTGATCTATGTATCAGGCCAAACTCCCCAGACTCCCCTTGCCTCTACTGAGGGAGAACAGATTCTGGCACTGGTGCTGATGATTAGAAAAGCATGGTGGGGTGCCCAAGGCTTGGGGTATCCAGATGAGTACTTCAGAGAGCCACCAATGGGACCTACAGTACCAGAAAGAGGCATTTCATTACATTCAATGCTGAATTTTTTGGGGAGCCCCGTTGGCTCCCCGGAACTATTCAGGCTGATATGCTAATATTAGACTTTGGCATCGGTCAGTGTGAATGGAGTTTTTAGGCCTACCGGGGACCACGAGCCAGAACCTGGCCCCCTCAGAGAGGCACGAGGAGCAATGGCCTATAGACACCCCCATGTGGTTGGATGCATTCTGTCTGCCATTGACTGGGTTAGGCACCCAGAAAGGTAAGCATCCCAAAACAAATCCCTATTCTGGTTAAGAAGTTGCTACTGAGAGCCAAACTAGTGAACAGAACTCCCCAAACAAAAACGAGCAAAGGAGCATGACGTCACCATGTTGTTGTGCCGCTGTCTGCGCAGCTTCCCCCTCCTCGGGAGGGGGGAAGGAGGAGCCCCTGACCTCTCGAGCCTGCTACCCAAGACCCCAGGTCTAAGACTGATGTGCTAGGCAAAAGTCGTGTGCTCTGGCTTCTGACATTGGTGCTCAGCTCTGTGCCTGTGTGGTGTGGTGGCTGTCTTCTTGGGGGTGCGCGAGCCAGGAGTAATTCCTCAGTACTCAGGCTGCTTGCACCTAGGGTTTCCTTCCCTAGGCGCCCTGTAAGTACCAGTACTGCCCTTTGGGCTTGGGACCTCCTTCCTCAAGTTCCTTGGGTTCTGCCTCTACTTGGTCGTTTGCTGCTCAGCTTTCGGCCACCCTTTGTGTGCTGTGGTGTTCTGGCATCCTTGGTCACCTTAGGGTAAGAGGCAGCTTGCACTGGTAGGGGCACAGGGTACTGCACAGCTAGTTTTCACCTCTCATTATGTCTGGCTCTATTCCGCCTGGGTACGCTGTCCTCTTGCGGGGTTTTATTTTTGTTTTCCTGCCTGGTAGGGGGGGTTTGCCTTCATTGTTGCCCCATGTGTGTCTCGCATACACTTTTCTGTTCTGGTGGTATCCCCCTGCTAGGTCCCTGTGAGTGTACACGTCCCGGGGGTTCAGTTACTTAGAAGTTTGATTGGTAGACTTGGGTGCCGGTTAGCTGTACCCTGCCTGTGCTTTCCTGAGTGTGAGTTCCGTCTCGGGACCCTGGGAATCCCCGAGGGGGCACGCGGGTTCGATGAATGTGACTCTTGAGTCCCCCCTCGCTTTATGCAAATTTGAGGGTTGCTCTGTCCCCTTGTCTCAGGGTGACTCTCATTGTTTTTGCCTCCGTTTCGCTGCATGCTGGGTTGGTGATACTTTCGTCCTGGAGTCCTGTGAGTTTTGTTGCTTGCTGGTGACTCAGTTTACCCAGTCTACTGATGATGATATTTGGGTACAGGCAGCACAGGCATTGCATGTTAGGTTTAGGTTGTTGCAATGTGCTAGGTTGGTTGCTGACACCAACGGGGCATCCCTGAGGCTGCCCCGTTTTGGTTATAGGGACCCGGACTTGGGGGTGTTGGTTGCTTCGACCTTGGTTCAGTCCGCACCCCCTCGTCCTTTCCCCCACTGTGGTTCGGTCTGCCCCCCCCCCCCCCCCATGCTTCTGGCTTTGAAACATCTGAGTGTTTCGGGGTCGGGGCAGATTTTAGATGGTGTTGAGACTCGGGCGGTCTCGGGGGATGCCACTTCCGGGCTGGTGATGGAGGCATTCAAGTCTTTCCTCCCTGCCGAAGCATCTGGGTCTGACCAGCGGGCCCTCTTTCGTCTGGCTTCTACAGTTGCGCTGGCCTCTTCTTTTGAGGCTGGGGCTTTGGGAGATGACTCTGCCCCGAGGAATATTGTGGTGGCTCCCGGGGTGGGGGAGGGGCTGACTTGGGGGCCTTGGGCCCCCATTGGACCCCGCCTGGGATTTTTTACCCTCGGAGTGGGGCTTATTGTTACAAGGAGTGGGGTTTTCTTCCCCCCCCCCCCCCCCCCTCTGCGTTCGAATTGGGAGCCTCTGGGTCTCACCCAGAAAATGGCGTTTCATTACATTCAATGCTGGTTTTTTAATTAAGTAGATTTTCTATAAACTTGGTACATAATTTTCCCAGCTTGGCACCTTCTGTTCATAAGTAAAGTACTTACTTTTTATAAATTTTTATTTAATTCAATAAACATAATACATAAGAAAATATCAATGCTCAAACTCATGCGAATCCAAATGTTGACTGTAAAACTGATTAATGTTTTACATTTTCAACTTACATGGAAGTGAACAGTTTTATTACCTTGTGTAACAGTGGGAGTTGACTCTGATTTACTGTGATTATATTGTATCTTAATTGCTGGAAATATTCACATTAAACCAATTCTTCCAGGAACTTTTTGGGCCTAACTGGAACAGAATCTCAAATTTTATTGCTACAAAATCATCAGGACAAGTTCGTAGTTTTCACAAGAAATGGGTTGAGACTTGCAGTGTTGTCCAAGAAGCTGAAAGTGTTGGAGATATGTGTGTGTTTATGCCATCAGAACAAGTTTGCATTACCACAGACTTAGATGATCCTTTGGGTCTTATAGAAACTGCTACAACAACTATTACAACTACTCCACTGACTCCACCCAAAGATCGAAATATTAATGTTGAATCTCGGGCTATACGCTCCAGTGAAAATGACAGTGAAGGGTTTAACTCTTCAAGTGACTGGTATGTTCCATCAGTTGGAGAAGAATGGGTAATAGAGTCAGATGGTCTGATATCTGTAAATCCTGAGACTTTTAAAAGTAATTGGAAAAAGTCGCGAGAAGCAAAAAAGAAAACAATTCAAAGCAAATTAAAAAAGAAGAAAAACACATCACAAAGTTCACAGGTGCCTTTTAAATTGAAGTCTCCTCAAAAGCATTCAACAAAGAAAAATATGCTCAAAATTACAATTGGTTCAAATCATAATGAGAGAGAGCGAGCTTCAGAGCCAGAAAATCCACCAAAGAAAGAAAAAAAGAATGACTTGCCAAGGACTCCTATACCAGTTCTGGGGCAGGTTGTTCACTTGGTTAAAAATGAAATGGAAGAAAGTGATGTTGATATTGATATTAGTGATGAAGAACAGCTGATAATTACTGATAAGGCTCGTAGTGATCCAGTAGTTATTAATAAGTCTGAAGACGGTGCTTATCTTGATGAATCTTCAGAAAGCAGAGAGACCACAAATCTGTGTGAAGATTCTAAAACAGAAAATAAACACCAGCAGGTTTTCACTTTTCCTCCTCCAACTGAAGAGAAAGAATTAAATTTAAATGAAGTTACAGATGAAGAGAAGAGAGTCCACTATGAGTATTTTGATGGTAAAGGTGTAAAAACTCCTGAAAGATACCTAAAAATAAGAAATTATCTTATTAGCTTTTGGAAACAGGTGAAACCTAGATATATGAGAAAAACAGCAGTTCGTGCTGGGTTAAAGAATTGTGGAGATGTTAACTATATAGGTAAAGTTCATGAATACCTTGAAAAGATTGGTGCTATTAATTTTGGGTGTCCAGAGACCAGTTATGATACACCATTAATTGTTGGTGTCAAACAGAAGGAGAGAATAATTATACCAAGTAAACCTGTAACAAAAGTAGATCGTTCAGAAATGATTCGACAAAAACAAAAGAAGAAATGGGATGCTTCAATGAGTGAAGGAGGTGGTCTTACAATTAGTCATGATGAATCTGGAGCAGTTGTGGATGCTTGTCATATTCCTGAAGCACCTCGCAATAAAGCAGGTCGTGGAACTGGCCGAGTTGGTGGAAGGCTAGAGCAATTTAAATTGATTCGCTGTCTAGAATATAACCCAGACACTTTAGCTCCATTTTCTGTTGTCATGCATGCTCATGCATTAATTACACTAGATCTCCATGCCCACACATCCCATGCTGAAGTGATGGGGTTACTAGGTGGCTATTATGATCCTGCTGCACAGACACTTTATGTGACTGTTGCAGTACCCACCCAAGCAGTTAGTTCTGGTGTGGAGTGTGATATGTGCCCTGTATCTCAGAGTGCTGCATGTACTGCTATTCACGAGGGTGGTGTACAAGTAGTAGGCTGGTACCACTCGCATCCAACTTTTCCACCTAATCCATCTGTTCAAGATGTTGACACCCAAAATCAGATGCAGCAGTGGTTTGCACGGCAAGAGGCTCCATTCTTAGGCATTATAGTAAGTCCCTTTTGTCCCACAAATCGCAGTGAAGCTTCTCAGATTCGTTGTATTGTGTTAGATAAATCTCCACATGGTAGCTCTGTGAACGAAGGGCTAGAATCATCCCGCTCCCCATATAAGTTGCTCTGGTCTGTAAGTGAGCTAATTCCTGGTGCATGGGAAGAAGTCTGCCAAGGTGTAAGATCAGTAGTTGCAGGAGCTAGAGATGATTCCATGGCTGTAGAGTGGAGAGGAGAGTGGCGTGGGCAGTTGACTTTCTGGGAAAAAGCCATAGCCTCTATAAATCATCATCTGCCGTTGCATCTGCACGGACCATTGCAGTCCGTTCGAACCACTTTTCTTGCTGCTGTTAGAGAGTGCTTGGATGCTTAGTGATAGAGAAAGGTTTATTCTGGTAATGTGAATGTAAAGTGTAAAGATTTCATAAAACTGGCTTCTTGTAAGTTAACATAAAAGTTTATACAGTATTAAAGTAGTTACTCAGGTCAGTCATCTCTCAATTTGATGATCATTTTTATTTGGTAGATGTATTTATTTACTATACTTGTTAATATGCTTTAAGCTCATCTTATGTATGCGAGGGAAAAATATTGTGTTGAGGGGTATTTGTTAATGAATGTTAATTTAATTGCTAACTACGTCACCTACAACTGCACTGGAAAACCGTTTAGAATTTTTATTCCATGGACTTTTACCATTAACTGATTAATACATTACTACTTCTTGCACATCATCAGGCACATTACAGTACTGTATTCTGAACATTTATCAGACACAATACAGAAATCAGTCTTTTGTTGATCATCAAATCTAGAAGAATTGTGCCATATATTTTTCAACATGAATGATCATAATCATTTACTAACATTGAATAAAGTCTGAATATACTGATTCAATAGGTGTTCCGTGTTTCTGTTTAATAGGACTATTGATAGCCGATTTTTATTAAAAGTTGTCTGGTAGAAAAAAACCAGTACTTTGAATTTTGTATTTAAAGAAGATTTAGCAAATTTTAAAAAGACCATTTGTATGAATATGGACTATTGAAAGTCATGTGGTTAACTTCATAGGATCAATTCTATAGTATGATGGCCGAGTTCCTTGTCTGAAACTTTGCAGGAATACACATATTACAGTACTGTTATATCTGAGTTGGCAAACAACTATAAATGACTAGGCCACATTTTTGTGCATCACAAGGAGTTAAAAGAAACTTTAACGATAACCATAAAAAAAAAAGTCAAGATGATTTCTAATTGTCAAATAGTGTCTTACAAAATCTGGGAGATTATCATACTTATAAAAACAAAATTATGAAATTATACCTCAAAATAAAGTTCACTCTATTGTATTTTTAAAGTCTTGAAATCAAGATGTGATTTGTGTCATTATGATGTACACTATTGACCACCGGGATGATAAAACCCGAGTTTAATTTTTTAAGGCATTGTAGGTTATTTAGGTTAAATTGCTGTAGTAAGTACAGAACTAGTCATTCACATTAAGTCTCCAGACAAAACTAACTTGCAATGGATGCAACTCTAATACTGTATCAAAAATGGTCGATTACATATTTTCATAATTGAATTACTGTATGTACAGTAAGTGATGAGTATTTCTTTGTCTAAATTGTATCCCTATTCAAATGTAAACCAATCCAGTATCCAATATATTAAAAGTAGCAGAGTTTTGAAAGTTATAGTTTATTATAAAGGCCAATGAAGAGGTTTATGAAAAATGTAAATTGCTGGCACTTTCAATATTATACAAATTTTGGGGGACACTTTGATCTGTTAATGTTAACATGGAGCATGTCTTTAAAAGGTACTATTATTTTAATGGTTATAAATTATATGTTACACATTAAACTGCTACATGTGTACCGAGGTTTCCCATCTTTTATAGTTTGTAAATATATACTGTATAGATATTACCATTGAACTAATAATCAAATTTAAAGCTTCTTCGTTTTAGAAGTTAGCTAGGAATATTATTGTGAATAGATATTTTTAACATTATTTTTTAGAATTTCTTATTGTATGCACTGTATCATATATCTGAGTGTTATTGTTAAATATCAGACTAATTATGATATTCTTCAAGATAAATTATCACATAAAATCTTTTGTTAAACAGTATTTCATTATATATTTGACATCATGTATCATTTGTTTTGGATTTAGTTTGTAATCCATTATTAACCTTGCCATTTATTAATGAAGTTGATGGCAATTGAAATTACTGGTATTTTTATCATCCTAAAGGACCAAGAGAACTTTACTTAATATCCTTTGTATTTACTTGTAAGAGGCTGCAATGAAATTGTAAAATTTTGAAAATGAAATGGGTTTCCGGTTGATGGCACACTTGGATGAACCTTAGTAAGTTTCAAAGTCAACTTTTATTTTATCCAGGATTTGCCCAATATCTAACACAGTATTATATTTTAATATAATATGATAAAATGACTAATATATATATATATATATATATATATATATATATATATATATATATATATATATATATATATATATATATATATATATATATATATATATATTTATATATATATATATATATTTATATTGGTGTATACTGGCAGCAGGTTTTCTTTCAAACATGTTTCATTGAATATGACCGCATATTCTGTATTTATTATTTTCTGGTTTAGGGCTTCTATCCCTCTAACTATTTTCTTAGCATCAGGGCTTAATTGAAATAGGAGTTCTCCAAAACTCATTTTCGTACTTTTAAGGTGAAGAAAAGAAGTGATTTACTATAGAGTGTATTACACTTATTTGTATAATTTGCACGACGTTTCGAACCTCCATGGTTCATTCTCAAGTGAACAGATCTTACAATACTAGTTGATTTTATACCTGCATTAGGTCAGGTGATAATACAATGAAGGTGAAAACATGGGGGGATACATAAGGGATAAACATAGGGGCTGCAGAAGGCTTATTGGCCCATACGAGGCATCTCCTATCTAAACACAAAGATTAATCCAGTGTAATTGGCCTGTTATGTTGGACATTGTCTTCTGTGTTGGCATCGATATGTTCTTGTCTTGTCCTTACTCTCATGGTGGGTAGAGTAAATAGTTCCGTGATTTGGGTGTTCATGGTAGGTCGCTCTATTCTTATGTGAATTGCCTCAAGAATTTGTAATCTTCTTGAATCTTGGGTTTTGTCTATTATGCAAGTATTCTTGTTCAACATTTCTCTTGTTAGAGTAATGTCATGGGCTTGTCTCATGTGATTCCTAGGGGCACCAGATTGAAGATGGCATGTCAAACGCCTCGTCAGCTTGGTCGACGTCATACCTATGTACTTACATTGAAGGTTACATCCTTCGTGGGGGCAAGTGTACATGTATACAACGCTTGACTGCTGTAGAGGGTTCTCCGTCGGCTTCGGGCTGTTTTTGATAAGGAGTTCGGAAGTCTTCTTGGTTTTGTAGAATATTATCAGGTTTATGTTTTGGTTAGTAGTAGTGCTTTTTACTCCTTTACGGATTATTTCTTTCATTATTCTTTCCTCTTTTATATGTTCACTGTGCATGGTTGATTTGTAATATAATTTTATTGGGGGTGTTGTGGTTTCTGTTCTAGGTTCTGAATTATACCAACGGTCCAAGTGTCTTCTTATAGCAGCGTTTATTTCCGCGTTGCTATATCCGTTGTTCACCAATACCTGAGTTACTCTTTCAAACTCTCTACTCACGTTGCTCCATTCAGAGCAGTGGGTAAGCGCTCGACGAATATAAGCATTGAGAACACTGGCTTTGTATCTTTGGGGGCACTCACTTCTACCGTTCAGGCATAATCCTATGTTGGTGGGCTTGGTATAAACGTTGGTGCTTAAAGAGGTTCCTGTTTTTGTTATTAGTACATCCAAGAATGGCAGACTGTTATTTTCACTATTTTCATGTGTAAATCGGAGTACTGACTCTCTCTCTAGGTGTCTTTTTAGGTCAATTAGTTCATCTGAGTCTTTTACTATTACGAATATGTCATCTACATAACGGCAGTATACAATTGGTTTTTGTCTGCTACTGAAGACCCTATCTTCTATGGTTCCCATATAAAAATTAGCAAATAAAACTCCTAAGGGGGAGCCCATTGCTACTCCGTCTATTTGTAAATACATGTCTCCTTGTGGACTGATGAAAGGGGCTTCCTTTGTACATGCTTCGAGAAGACTTTTCAAGTGTGGCTCAGGTATGTTTAATTTGGGGGTGCTCTCGTCTCTGTATACTCTGTCCAGTATCATTCCTATGGTTGTGTCGACTGGGACGTTGGTAAAAAGGGATTCAACGTCCAGGGAAGCGATGATTCCATCGGGCTGGGTAGATTTGATCAATTCTAGGAAATCTGCTGATGATTGTAGACTAAACTTACTTGGAGTGTATGGAGTTAGGAGTTCATTGAGTTTCTTTGCCAGGTGATAAGTTGGGGTTGGTATTTGGCTGATTATAGGGCGTAGTGGGTTACCTGGTTTATGCGTCTTAACATTGCCGTAGGCATATCCTAAGCCATAGTCGCCTTCAAGTTTATTGAAATGCACACTACCTTTCTTTGCGTTGATTGCTGTAATTGTTTTGTTTACTCCAAAAACAAATTACTTTGTAATTGTTTGTTTAATTGTTTTTGAAATAGGAGGAGAACTCCTATTTCAATTAAGCCCTGATGCTAAGAAAATAGTTAGAGGGATAGAAGCCCTAAACCAGAAAATAATAAATACAGAATATGCGGTCATATTCAATGAAACATATATATTTATATATATATATATATATATATATATATATATATATATATATATATATATATATATATATATATATATATAATATATATATGTATATATATATATATATATATATATATATATATATATATATATATATATATATATATATATATATATATAATATATAAAAAGAACAGTTTTCATAATGAGCTGCCTTTTGCCATTGGTATGCATTTGGTGGTTTAGTTTAGTCATTTATTATGCACTCCATACCCATCCTGTGAGGCATGGTGAAAAGGGTTACAAAGGAACATAATATGGGTTCAGGAACTAAACTCCATTATTCATTTAGCTAATAAAGTACATTATCAATCTTGCAAAGCTAGTTACACAATTTTTAATACACATTCACGCATGCACTCACACACATGATTAAGATACATTCTGATAAAGAAAGAAATCTAGGGGTTACCTTACCTTGAGGTGCTTCCGGGGCTTAGCGTCCCCGCGGCCCGGTCGTCGACCAGGCCTCCTGGTTGCTGGACTGATCAACCAGGCTGTTGGACGCGGCTGCTCGCAGCCTGACGTATGAGTCACAGCCTGGTTGATCAGGTATCCTTTACAGGTGCTTATCCAGTTCTCTCTTGAACACTGTGAGGGGTCGGCAAGTTATGCCCCTTATGTGTAGAGGAAGCGTGTTGAACAGTCTCGGGCCTCTGATGTTGATAGAGTTCTCTCTCAGAGTACCTGTTGCACCTCTGTTTTTCAACGGGGGTATTCTGCACATCCTGCCATGTCTTCTGGTCTCATGTGATGTTATTTCTGTGTGCAGGCTTGGGACCAGCCCCTCTGGTGGCGCACATGCACACAGAATGGTGGCACACATTCATTCAGCTACCTCTCACTCTCCACATTCTCCTAACACATTAAGAATTAAACAATTGAGGATATAGTGACATATCCAGACCACAGCTCTCTTGCACTATGTTATCACAACTCTCCAAAATAAGAAGAGAACCGGATGTGTGTGTGTTATCCCCTTCCCCCTAAAAAGAAGAGACCAACAGTTTTATAGACCTCTGCTGTTCCCTCCTGGATCCACTTGCAAGAAGAAATTCCTATGACTACCCATTTCGAACTGAGTAGTACAGTATATGCCCCGTTTCACCTGTGGTGGAATATGCGTAATGTTACAGTGTGTGTGTTTTGGGGTTAGGTTCTGTGATGATTTCCTCTACTGCTCAAGCTGTTACCGGATGCGTCATGCCTTGGCTCGGGCTTTGTCTTCATCTAACCATTTTCTTCTGGCATTGTGAGTTTCTTCTTCTGGGCTTAGTATCTTCTAAAATCTAATGGAATAATGGAGGTTGAGTGGTAAGACAACAATCTCATACTTTTGAGGTCCAAGTTTGAAACTTCAGTGATCCAAGTAAATGAAATAGAGAGGACCTTTGAGAAGCAGCTAGATTCCTGTCCCCATCAAGGCCTCTAGATATGGTGAACCTTAGGTAAAATTCTCGTGTCTCTACAGGCTGTGGCTTGGAGTGTCCCTTTCGAGCCCTCCCTGAAATTTTCATCTGTCCCCAGCAAGTTCTCCACGTGTAGTCCTGTCCCTGCTCCTGTCTCTCTCTACTTTTGTCATCCTCTCTTCATTTTGGCTCCTACTCTCCTCATGGTTACAGCTGATGAAATTTGGTACTGGTATTTGCTTTTTAAGCAAACACACAAACAGAACTTCAATCATACACCATGTGTATTTGACTGTAGACATGTTTGTAGGTGGCTAAGATGGTGGCGACTGTGGTGTTGAGAAGTTGTGGCAGTGTCCTCATGGTAGTGGTGTAACAACATTCACTGGTAATGGTGCAGCAACATTCTGTGACAACAGCCACTGGTGGTTGCACAATCTTTTGTTAAAAGAAAGGGCTTGTTGATTCCTAAGATTCTTTTTCTTAATGACGGGAAAAAATGTGACTACTGATTCAGTGTGCTCAGTAACTTTAAAATATTGTTTTCATTTATTTTAACTTGACATGATGATGACCTGGTGCTCAGCCCTTGCCTCTGTGCCTGTAGATAAGAGGTGTGCATCTTGATGGGTGTAATAAGAATGTTCTCAGTCCTGTGGGCAGAGACAGATTTCTCCAAAACAAATTAAACAATTTTTCTTGGCATCTCAAGTGGGGGCCAATCAGATTTGTTTTCTTTAGCTGCAGATCTGTTTTCAATGGTGAGGCAGCTGTTAGACACATGACTTATACATGGCACCTTACCTGCAATAATCGTAATAAGTAGGGTCAGGACCACATGTGACTCCTATGCCTTTTAATACCATCTCGCTTCCCCGTTTCACATATTTGGGGGCATTGTTATACACATGATGGAATGCAATATATGGATTCGTGATAAGAGCGTTAGCTAAATATCTGATATCACAGGCCTCTGTACATAATCAAGGTAAGTTACATGTACACAATTTATGTATTAATAATTGTCTCTTGCAACCTAGCATTACACTTCAAATACACGGTTGGAAATTTATCGTAAGTTTCATAATGTCCTTAGTCATTCTCATTAAGGTGTTCTCACTAAATGTTACTGAATTCTTTCAATTAAAGCACACAAATTCCATCTTCTTTTCTGACAGTATCCCAATGAAATGACATCACTTGGTAGTGAGTAAAAAACAAACTCAAACTTCTCTGTTGGAA